TAATCAGAATTTTTGACATTACTTTTTTAACTATCCGCTATTATGAAAATTGATGAATTTCAAAAATTGCGTTAGATAATACTAGATTTTCGAGCTTGAAATGTATTATAGCTCTATTTTCGAGTTCGAAGAGCTCAAAACCGTGTAATTAGAAATTTTACACGCGTTTTGAGCTTGTATTTAGCGGGAAGTTCCAGGGGTAACTTACATGGTCAACCGCATTTTAGATTTTTTTTTGTTATCGTATTTCGAAGTTTAATTTATAAAATCAGTAGTGTTGTATGTTTCCATGTACTTATTGTACTATTTAGTATGATAATAATAATAATGATGATTATTTTTATTACAATATTAATAGCAATAATAATAATAATAATAATAATAAATAGTAATTAAAGCAATGGAATTTTGTTTGATTGAATATGCATTGCCATTTATAAAGAAGAATATTAATCAATTGAACAATGCCTTTGTATCAAAAGTAAATAAAATATTTCAATAATTTTGTAATGTTGGATATTTATCAATTATTTCACATCGAACAGTTGAAAACAGTTTGTATATTTATTTGATTTAATTCAATAAGGGTTTATATTTTACTGGTATTTTGACTGTATCAATAACGCAGGTTGACGATAATATTTTTTTTTTGTTTCTGATTCAGTGCATGAATTCTAATTTCTCAGATAAATGAAAAAGAAGTGTCTATTCACACTTAAAAAAGTCCTGATAAATCCACGCTGCGTGAATATAAGGGCCTTTACATTCACGCGGTGGGGATTTATCAAGACTTTTTTTTATGTGGAAAAAGACATGTTTCAATTAAAAACCGAAATACTTAATTGATACAAATAGCTGCGAGTGGCTCATTATTCGTGTAGTAGACACCAATCAATATTAATGTGTTTGACATAGCAACAAGAACCGTTTTTGGGTGTCATTCAATCAGAATATAATAAATTCATGATGATGAATAACGATGTTAATTTATATTAATTTACTTGCGATGAATTAAATGAAGTCAGAAGAACACATTTTTTTTTGGAGACAAGTTTGAAACGTTATGAAGCTTTTACGAAGCCTAAATTAAACTGCAAATTTAAAATAAATACAAAATTACTTCAAAAGGTGAAGAATAAAATTTTAACTCGTAATTTGAATACAAAATCTAAATAATTCAAAGACCATTTAGTTGCCGATTAATTAAAGGAGTAAAGAAAACGGTTTTATCGAGAATGTAAAAGATTTTTAACAACGTTATCTGGAGCAATACAACTATACTATTTGATAAGAAATCACGTTTAGAGTTCAATACGAGAAAGTTTAGGTGATTATAAAAAACGATTAAATATATCTGTCGTAGTCTTTTTGCAAAATTTATTTCATGAAATACCTAGGCACTTCCCGAAGCGTCAGAGTTTAGTGGAAAATATTTAAATTGCATTATTAGCCTCTAGGCAGTTCATGAAATGACCACTTGGCGTGGGCATCTCGTGTTTAAAGCCACAAGGTACATACATAATCAGATGCATAAAACAGTTGGGCTTTTTTCGTATTTCGGCCCTTTTTCTTCAAATAATTTTTAAGCCGTAAAAGATAGCTTAAATCTATCAAATTTATTTTAAAATTCACATAATTATCTTTAATTTGAGCTATTATTCGTCGCCTTTTGATACTTTTTTCAATTTATTTCGTAGTTGGGAAAATTAAAAAAAAATCATTTTTAGCTATATCGTCAAATAACTTTCATATATTACAATTCCTATTTTTTAAATAGTGTTTTTTTATCAATATTCATACAAGAAATCTACCTATCCATGTCGGGTGAGGCCGAATAGCGCTTTTTTTCAATTTGATTACATTTTTAGTATTCTATTAATTATTTTTCAAAAAAAAATTTTTACAGATAAGGTAAAAGCCCCAGTATATGATCATGTACCAGTATATGATCACTCCATGTATTTGTATACCTATATTTGTGAATATAGATATACAAATACATGGGGTGATCATATACTGGTACATGATCATATACTGGGGCTTTTACCTTAT